GTAGTGTTCCCCCAGTGTCTGACCATCTCCGGTAGTGTTCCCCCAGTGTCTGACCATCTCCGGTAGTGTTCCCCCAGTGTCTGACCATCTCCGGTAGTGTTCCCCCAGTGTCTGACCATCTCCGGTAGTGTTCCCCCAGTGTCTGACCATCTCCGGTAGTGTTCCCCCAGTGTCTGACCATCTCCGGTAGTGTTCCCCCAGTGTCTGACCATCTCCGGTAGTGTTCCCCCAGTGTCTGACCATCTCCGGTAGTGTTCCCCCAGTGTCTGACCATCTCCGGTAGTGTTCCCCCAGTGTCTGACCATCTCCGGTAGTGTTCCCCCAGTGTCTGACCATCTCCGGTAGTGTTCCCCCAGTGTCTGACCATCTCCGGTAGTGTTCCCCCAGTGTCTGACCATCTCCGGTAGTGTTCCCCCAGTGTCTGACCATCTCTGGTAGCTTCTCCCCAGTCTCCCGACCATCTCTGGTAGCGTCCCCCCAGTCTCCCGACCATCTCTGGTAGCGTCCCCCCAGTCTCCCGACCATCTCTGGTAGTGTCTCCCGGACATCTCCCATAGAATTCTTGCAGTTTTAAATGTTTATCTGTGCACTGTTTTAGTGTCTGCCTAGATCATTGGTTCTCACCTGTAGCATCCCCCCAGTCTCTGACCATCTACAGTAGCGTCCCCGCAGTCTCTGGCCCTCTCCGGTAGCATTCTTGCAGTTTTAAATGTTTATCTGTGCACTGTTTTAGTGTCTGCCTAGATCATTGGTTCTCACCTGTAGCATCCCCCCAGTCTCTGACCATCTCCTCTAGCGTCCCCCCAGTCTCTGACCATCTACAGTAGCATCCCCCCAGTCTCTGACCATCTACAGTAGCGTCCCCGCAGTCTCTGGCCCTCTCCGGTAGCATTCTTGCAGTTTTAATTGTATATCTGTACACTGTTTTGGTGTCTGGCCAGATTATGGGCTCTCACCATTTTGTTGGTTTGTGAATTTTAGGTATCGTTACACTCTGGACGAGCTTCCAGCCATGTTACACAAGTTAAAGGGTCGCGCTGAATCGTTTGACACCTGGGCAAATAAAGTGCGTCGTGCTCTGGAATTCCAAGATGGCGGCAAGACAGGTGGGGCACCCCGAGCCTTCCTATTTGTCTATCTTTTGGAATGGGGGAAAAAATGTGTTTTGTAATCGTTCTCCATTTTTTTTGTTCTCTTTTTAGATCTGGAACATCTTCGAGTCCTAGAAGAAGAAGCTGCGGAGAAAAAATTTGCACAGAATGATTTGTTACAGGAGCTGAAAAATACCACCAAAGAGGCCGAATGGTGTATAAGTGAGGCCCAGAAACTGCTCGATACCCCACATCCAGCCAGGTCTGTGGCTTCAAATTATGGCACAGGGGAGGGGAGTCCGTCGGAGGGAATGCGGGCCCATTGTGTGTGTGTGTGTCGGGGTTGTTACATTATGGAGAATCGACAAATGCAATGCTAGTTGTGGGGGAGATTTCTCTGGGCCAACCCCCTTCCTGCCTCTGATACTTCCCATTTGGTCAGTAAGGCCCCCAACATGTCTGATCTGACCGTAAAATTAATTGGGCTTAACCCCTTAGTGACCAGTGACGTCCATAGTACATCGCTGGCAGCGGGCCCGTTTAAGCAGAAGCCGCCGGGACTCTGTTTACATTTGTAAAGCCGACTGTCTGCTATACAATAGAAGCGATTTTGGGCGAGTCAGCTGCCGCCAGATTGCTTCTACGGGCCGGTAAACTGCCCACACCCCCGCCATGTTTCCCGGGCTCCACTGCCCCTCCTACGGCCCGGGACCGGCATCTTGGGTGTCGGTGGAAGCTGAGGAGGTAATATGTGAATGTCCGTTCACCGGTTTCTTCCCCGTACTATGGGACTGGGCGTGCCGTGTATTGCATCACTTCCGGTCCCAATGCGGCCCTTGTACAGCTCCTGAAGCCCAGCTATAAGCTATTGAAGTGCGATCTGCACCCCAATAGCTTAGAGTGTAAAGGTGACACTAGGGGTCTTATGGGCCCCCAATATCGCCTTAAAGAGTACCTGGCACCGCCAATCTGCTATCGCCTGGGGGGCTTGTAAGCCCCCCTATGTGATAGCGAAGTAACATAAAAATAACAGTTTTTTAAAAATATCAAATTAATGTAAACATTATTTAAAAAAAAATTTTAAAGGCCCCCGCAAACACGCGTTGTGTGCGCCTACGTATGAAAACGACGATTGCGCTACAAATTTTGGGCATCGCCGCGCACGCCTGGAGTGAGAGCAATAATTCTAGGGCCAGTATTTTTGGGTATCTCTAAACTGATGACCTGTGGCGGCTTTTAAAGCGTCGTCTACGGACTTTTTGGGGTACTGAATTTTGTCGCTGTTTCACGGACGCACACAAATTTTTTAACCTGGGCATGTCTGGTGTCTATTTACTTGTTGTAACCTCGTCTTTTTTTTTTTTAAAGTTATTTTATTGTGTTTTTGGGGCATTTAAGTGCATTTTTCACTAACTTTTGGGGTTTGATAATAAGTTGCGCTAATATCGTGCAAGATAGAAATGTGCAACTGCCGCCATTTTATTCTACAGGGTCTGGGCGTTCGGAAAATATATCATATTTGGGGGTTTTGAAGTAATTTGCAGGCCTAAAATGTGGATTATAACATGGGTGCAATCCAATGAAAAAAAGACCTGTCATGAAGGGGTTAATTCAGCATTTCCTGGTCTACCAATACCTAGAGGGAATTTACCAATCTGTATATGAAATGCATAGAATTATGTACATTCAGCCCCGATGTAGGTGCGCAGTAGGCTGGGTCGGGACGCTGAGCGGGAAGGGCATGTGTAGGCGTGACACAGCAAGGCGGGGTGTAGAGGGCATAAGGCAGCGGTTCTCAACCTGTGTAACCTGAAGACCCACATTTTGTCCTTCGCCATTAAGTCGTGACCCAAGTTGCGCTGCAATGGAACGCAGTGTGAGCTGCTGTGCTGTGACTGAGCTCCATCCATATGTGCATCCACTTGTACAGCGCCCTGTACAGGTGCCGTGAGCCAGATTGTGATGTCACTCCGGTCCAGCCACCTCCTACAGGACACATTAGGGAGCTGTAAGCAATGCACGTATGGATGGAGCTCCCTCGTGGCCATACCCCCAGCCCACCTCAAGCTGACACTCTGCACCGGGCAGCATATTTTGAATAGCTGCTTGGCGCGAGAACTGACAGTCCTGCGCTAGGGAAAGGCTGAGGAACCTCTCGCCTACAAAAGTGGAAGGCACACGGGGACCCACTCAACACGGGGTCACCACCCACTTTTGGGTCACGACCAACCAGTTGAGAACCAAGGGCATAAGGCATGCTGCTGTGGGAAGGTGTACAAAGATGGCTGGAGGCCTCCACTGCCAGGCATATTCTACAAAACTCAGTGTTATTCACAGAAGGGTGAAGAGTTTGGAGAAGTGAACAATCTAGGACAACATCGCTGAATTGCAGAAGGTTTCCAAATCCGGTATTTTGGCCTAGGTTGTTCCTCTCCTGCCTTCTCCAAACTCTTTCGTGAATAACCCTGTTAGTTCATTGGCTGTCATCTTGACATTTTGTCTTTAAAGGAGAACTATGAGGTGCGTGCTTTTCACTCATCTCATAGTTCTAGCCGGCCTGTGACAATGAGACTGTCACAGGTCGGGCTCAGTAGATCGGGAGGTGAGCGAACACATACCGGCGTTCGCTCACCTCTCGATCCTGTCACAGCTATCTGCCGTGACAGGGGGAGGGGCTGGATTCCCCTATCCCCGCTCCGATCTGCCAGCGCTGACTGGCGGAACGGACGGGGGAGGGGGCGGGTACAGCTGGCTCTGCCTCTAGATAGGCAGAGCCAGCTGTCACTCACGCAGCTGGGCGGATCCCGGCACAATTGTCTGGATCCGCTTCAGCTGTGGCGTCTCAGTATATCTCAGTATACAATGAGCTGTAGCTCCCTATATACTGAGCTTAGGGTGACGGGAGGACGCTAGTTCTCCTTTTAATAATTTTGACTCACTTGCCTGAAACATGCTGGCATCCAATCCCTTTCTGCATGTTTGCTTAAGTTCTTTTGGCTCTGAGCTTTTAAAGCCAGGCCTTTAGCATTTTTAGGGGATAATCAATAGCTGCCTCTTAGAACCATTTTTCATCAACACAGCTACAAGAAGTGTGTTCCATGCATTGGGTTCAGCATCGTGTTGGCAGTCACTGGCATGTAACCTCTAAGACATAGAATGTATCCTCTGATTTATGACTGGCTGAGACTTCACCTATGAATGGGGTTTAATTCCGTTTTCTCCGCTCCGTTTCCTGTAGGAGTAACGCTGCAGCCATGACTCTGGACAGTCTGCAAAAGCTTATCCGTCGTATCCAAGCTCTTCCATGCGACTTGAATCAGCTGCCAAAGCTGGAGGTAATCCCCAGGTCCTGTCTGGTAACATTAAAGAACTCCAGAAAATACTTATTATTAAAGGAGAACTATGAGGTGAGTGATTTTCACTCCCCTCATAGTTCTAGCCGACCTGTGACAATGAGACTGTCACAGGTCGGCTCAGTAGATTGAGAAGTGAGCGAACACATACCGGCGTTAGCTCACCTCTCGATCCTGTGCCGGCAGAGAGCCGTGACAGGTGAGGGACTGGATTCCCCCCTCCCCGCTCCGATCCTCCAGCGCTCACTGGAGGAACTGACGGGGACGGGGACAGCTGGCTCTGTCTCTAGATAGGCAGAGCCAGCTGTCAATCACGCAGCTGGGCGGATCTCGGCAGTAATGTCGGGATCCGTCCTGCCTGCGGCGTCTGAGTATACCGCGAGCTGTAGCTTGCGGTATACTGAGCTTAGGGTGACGGGAGGACGCTAGTTTGTGTCCTCCCGTTACCCTTAGGAGAACTATGGGGAAAAGCCCTGACCCCATAGTTCTCCTTTAACCCTTGCAGTGGGGCTACCACCACATTGCAAGGGTTTACTGCTCATTTGTGTCCAGGTTAAAAAAAAACAAAGATATGCTCACCCAAAGCTCCGAGTCGACTTCTTAGACCCGTCCTTCCAACGTCTCTCCCCTTCCCCTGCAGCGGTCTAAGGTCCTGTAGATCACCAGCGTCTATACACAGCGAATCTGAGGAAGATTAAAATGCTGCTGTGGGGGGGCTCGGAGTTATGGGTGCGTATATCTTATTTTAGCACCTAGACACAAGTGAGCACTTATCCCTTGCAATGCGGGGGTTTTAAAATGAAGGTTCACATATACTTTAAGTATACACAAAGTATAGTCTGGTAACTTTAAATTGACGCCATCACACACATACATACAGGTGAAACTCGAATAATTAGAATATCGTGCAAAAGTAATTGCAGTAAATGCTGCAAAAGGGGCCCAAACCAAGTCCTGAGTACATATGCATGCTTGTACTTCTCAGAGGTCCGATATTGTTCTATGTACAATCCTTGTTTTATTGATTGCATGTAATAATCTACTTTTTTGAGGTTGTGGATTTGGGGTTCTTGGGGTTTTCATGAGCTGTGCGCCATAATCATCACAATTATGACAAATCACGGCTTGAATTATCTTGCTTTGCATGTAATGAGTCTCTCTCATATATTAGTTTCACCTTTTAAGTTGCATTAGTGAAATAAATGAACTTTGCACGATATTCTAATTATTCGAGTTTCACCTGTAAGTGGCCCCTGCAAAGAAAATAATTGACATTTTCTCACCCCTATCACTGAAAAATTAAGAGAAACCACCACAAAAAAATCTTCATAATCTGGCACTTCTGGGAGTGTCGGGTTCCTAGTTCCTCCCGCCAGCCCCTATGTAACTAGGTGTCGGATTCCGGTTTCCTCCCACCAGCCCCTATGTAACTGGGAGTGTGGGCTTCTGGGTTCCTCCCAGCCGGCCCCATCGTAC